TCTGAGATTAAAGTCAGAATTATGAGATTAAAGTTTTTTTTTTCCATGTTAAACTGAAATAAAATTTAAAAATCAGTTAACTTTTTTTTTTTCTAGTGGCCCTAATCCTCTTCCACAGTTTCTGGGATCCTGAAATCTTTTAATAATTTTGTGCCTGTGGTTAGATAATTGTTAGATTCTGAGGTTCAGTTTTGAAACGTAAATCTGTTTTTGCTCTAAATGAAAGGAATCACTATAGTTTTAATAAATAAAAAAGTAATGAGCCGATAAACTCTGCAGGCAGTCAAAGGTTTCATTTTAAAATCCAGCTTCATCTGGATGTTATCAAATTAATACCAAACTCAGTCTTATTTAACGTGCCGTCCTATTTTATTTTTATCTCCAAATACTGTTTAGTTTAAATAATATTGGGACAAGGTCAGATATGCTCATTATTGCTGATTTTAACTTTTATCAGTTAACTACAAGTTTCTATTTTGTTCCATCAGTATTAACGATGTTAAAGCATTTAAAAACAAAATGTCTTGATCATTTGTTCCGTTAGTAAAATAAACTGGTTTCTCTAAAAACTGTAATTTGTAAGGTAGATAATAACATTTATTAAAATGTTAAACTCTGTATTTATATATATTTACTCACTGCAAAAAAATAACATCGAAATAAGTTAGAATTTCTGGAATTAAGTGTATTTAGCCTCAATTTTAGCAAGTAAATAAGATTATTTGCTAATGGAAAAAGAAAATACGATATAATAGATAAAATGCACTTGAAATAAAACAATGCAATTATTTTTTTCTTAATTTAATAAAAAATCTGATTTAGTATCTCACTTAACCCCTCAATAGAAGAAAAAACTACTTATTTAAATTATTTGCAGTCCTACTTTAGATTTATAAGTGTTTAAAAGGACATTTTCATAGAGTGCATTTAAAGCAATAACAGGAATCTTATGCAGCTTTTATTTTTTTTCATCAGTATCTATAAAGCTTGACTTTGAATGTATCAAGAATCTTATTCATAGAAATAACCGAATGGTGGGACGGTTCTGTATTGTTTGGCATTTGTTCAATAATCATTTTCCATGGAAGTGCATTGATAATGTTGCAGTGGTAATAATGTTAACTGGTATTATTGATTGAAGTACTTTGATCCTCTCCTTGTAGAGCTAGAGATGAGAAGACGAGAGGATGAATACAGATTCACAAGTAAGTGACTGACTGACCTCACTGTTATCAGACAGACTTTCACATCAGTTTTAATGCTTCTGTCAGTTGTGCAAATGCCAAAATTTACAGACCTCTGGGAGTTTCTTTAATTTAACAGAAATAGTCAAATTATTATTATTATTTTTTTTATTGTTTTTAATTGTTTAACTTTTATTGTAAAAGGTGAATCATTCAGGGCTACATTTCAGTAATTTATTTTAGTAATTTCTCTCCCATAGCGAATTTTTTGATCAATTCTTTAGTAGAGTGATATAATTTAACGCTTTCATTTTGAATCGTTTTCATAATTATAACTTGTAACAATAAAACACTAAGCTTGAAAAAGACCAATAAAAAGGGCTTATAAATGCAGAGCTGTTATATTTCAGCCCTCTTACACTGGAAAAAATCGAAATCTAGATAAGTAAATTTTTCTTTAAATAAGTGCATTTGTTCTTGAATTGATGAGGTAAAAGAGACATTTTGCCAATGGAACAAGACAATATAGATTTAAAATAAGAAAACACAATTATGTTGTCTTATTTCAAGTGCATATTATCTAATTATCTTATTTTAAGAGTAAAAATACTCATTCCATTGGCAAACTATCTCATTTACTTACTTAAAATAAGGATAAATAAACTTAATCTAAGAAATTCTTAATCGTTTTTGCAGTGTATGGTTTATAATCAAACTTGGGAGAAGAAAACCGCCTCAGTTAAATAATCTGGAACTAATCTCGTCTGCTGTTCCTTTGAGAGATAATTTAACATTTCAGTCCAAAGTTATTTCTAATAAAACAGTCAAGTCGATCGCAGCGTAAGAGAACCTGCTCCTGTTTTTTATTGGTATTATTATCGATGTAAACTCTGTCATAGACCAGGATTTGTCACCTGGATTTATAGTAATTGTTTTTACAGCCGGTAGATGAGCAGATATCTTCCTTCTTATTAAAAAAGAATTTTAAACACAGATCCGTAAGTTCTAAACGTCTTTGGTGGATTTCAGAAAATTTCACTCCTAGGATGAAATAAAGGAAACAAAAAAATTTACAGTTAAAACCAGAATTCATATTAATCTTCAGATTACCTTAAAATGAAACTCAGCCAGGTTATAATCCAGCTTGCAATACATGAGCAATCCAGATTATACAGTTCTTAAATAAAAACTAGTCTATTGTAATCAGGGATGCACGATATAATCGGCCCCCTATCGGTATCGGCCTTAAAACTGAATATCGGACATCGGCCACCCCACCGATATTTAACCCGATATTTGATCAGCTTCTGAGTTTCTAAANTTTACGCTAGCAATCATACGTTTAAAGGGTCATGACCTCTAACTCGTGTTCTCACGCAGGCGTCAGTTCTTCATTAAGCCAATCTGCACCACATGCACAGCAGAGACTCAGAACTTCAAGTCATTTCTTTTGGGTTACGGTGCTAAACGGAGGTGATTGGTTTGTTTTTGCAGAGCTGCTGCAGATCGCAGGAATCAGTCCTCATGGAAACGCTCTTGGTGCGACCATGCAGCAGCAGGCCAGCCAGCAGCCACCTCAGGAGAAGAGGGGAGGGGAGATCCTGGACTCCACTCACACTGACATCAAACTGGAGAAAAGCAACATCATACTCCTCGGTCCTACTGGTTCAGGTGGGTGAAATAGCAAAGGAGTTACATCGCATCTCTGATGCATCTCACCAAATGCAGTTAAATGATGGGTCAGTTGATTAATCGATATTAATGTTCATCTCTAAGGGAAAACATTGCTGGCGCAGACACTGGCTCGCTGTCTTGATGTTCCTTTTGCGATCTGCGACTGCACCACTCTCACCCAAGCTGGATACGTGGGAGAGGACATCGAGTCGGTTATCGCCAAACTTCTGCAGGATGCCAACTACTCAGTGGAGAAAGCACAACAAGGTGGGTACAGGCGCCATATTTAACTTTTCCCATCTGTTGAGTGAGAAGGTTTGTGGAAATCCCTCTAAACTAAAGCTGTCATGACTTACCTAACACTGTGGTTGGAATTCGTTATTTACTAAGAAATTTAAGAAATTACTCCGGATAAATAACTTGGTAATAATAAAACAGAGTTTGGAGAAAAAAATCTGATGATTTTCAATAAATGACAGTTTTTCAATTCAGTTAAAGCTTTTTTTGGTCCCTGTACATACAAACAATGGAAACCGGTGCAAACCTGCAGCTTATAATAAAACATTGGACTAAATGAGAATGAATTGTTATTAAAATATAATTTAAATTCCAACAAAAATGATGTTTTAATTCGAATTTCCCATCAGTGTTTTGTTAATTTAATCCATTATCCTTTAGAGATAAAAAGAAACATTTTAAATGTATTTATTTAAGGTGGAAATTTACAAAAATTTGATCTTTCTGAAATTCACAAAAAAAGATTTGTGTTAAATGTTATTTTGGTAAAAAGAATGAAAGTGTCAGCATTCATGAACGATGCTTTTGACAATCTGCTTTTAGTTTAAAATATTCCATTTTAGTGCTGAAACATTGAATCATGATTCATTGATTGTTGAAATAATCGTCATTTGATCAATAATCATTAACCGGAGTATAGAGGCTCTAAAACTTGTCTTTAGCTGACAGAGAAATCCCACTTAGAGCCGATATTATACCAAAGTTTTAAGAAATATATTAAAAGAAATTTTCCACCTGGTTTCATTTCATAAAAAATCTTCTTTAAGGAACCGTTGGCCATCTGATTATTAATTGATTAATGAAAAAAGAAATTTGCAAAATGATTGTTAATTGAAGCCCTATTCCAGTCGTTATTTGTGAGTTTATATGACTTTATAACCGCACTTTCAATTCAGAGGCCAATTAAATTCTTTCTTTTTTAAGATTTTTGGAATATAGAAACAACAAGACCTAAATAATATTTTAACACTTAAGGTAAATCGTTCGAGATTCCAATGTCTTTAACATTTAGAAATTTTAGGCTGTAAAATTATGAAGCTTTGAAACTGACTTTGGTTCTAAAGTAAAGAATTTCTCCATTTCTAAGAGAAAAGTTTGGTTTCTGTCTAGTTTATAGAGCTGTTCCTTTGCTTGGAGCTGCATCGGACAGTAAATACCTTCTTTAATAAGACTTTAAGGTTATTTAAGCATTTTTCAACCTAAAAACCAAGCTCAGAAATGATGCTGAACCTCAACACATTTATCTCCAGTCTATGCTTGTCCTTAGTTTCCTGCAAGTCTGCCTAAATCAGGCGTGTGCATCAGAACAGGGAAGTAAACAATGAGGCAGCTGCTGTCAGCAGGTCTCTTTATTCTATTCGGCCCTCAGAAAATGATGCCAACTGGTTGTAAAAAGAAAAGCAACAGTAAATAAGGTCTGACTTATAAGAGTAGGTCACTAATCCAGCCACCATTGTTTTGTCCTTTGTGTCGGCAGGTATCGTGTTCCTGGATGAAGTGGATAAGATTGGCAGCGTGCCTGGAATCCATCAGCTGAGAGATGTGGGCGGGGAGGGCGTTCAGCAGGTCAGTGCGGACACGCGGTTATCCTTAGAGCTGCAGACAGCAGCTAGGTTTATATTTTAAGGATCGGGTGAAATGTTTCGTCGTAAATTCGATTTAGTCTTTGGCTATCTGAGGATTTTCACACATAGGTTTAGCGTCTTTGTTTTTGCTGCAGATATAGTCAGGGAAAACATTATTAGAATAGAGACAATGGTTATGTAGTCAACTTCCAAAAAAGATTTAAAAAAAAAACAATCCACTGGACTTTGTTTCCAAGTTTGAAGACATTTCTCTTCCATCCAAGAAGATTTTTCAATTCAAAATGAAAATGTCAAAAATGCTGAGTTCCAGAGTTCCAGGTTTTATAGAGTGGACCAACACAGCCTTGTTTTGGTTTAGAAATCATGCAAATTGAAACGAACAAACGGTTCTGACCCTTTGGAATGGCTGAACACCTGGAGGTCTAATTGATCAGAAGTGGAAGCAAATCATCAAACCAACAACGTCGTCTCGTTATCTAAAAGTTAAACACAGGATTATTTACAAAATTACACATAAGCTGTCATGACTTATAAATCCTCTCTTTAGATAAAGAGAAAATTAACTTGTTTTCTCAAGAAAACACAGTGAAAAAGTGGAAATCTGAGGTACACGACCGCTCTCTGCTTCTGTAGTTTACTGATATAGATTTTAAAAACTTTTTTTTTCTTTTTTAACTAAAGACCATGTCACACCTTGATGATTTAGACCAGCAATGACTGATGTTCAGAAAATCTGGGAAAAACGCTGCCATATGTTGGATAAGTTATGAGCACGCTGAAATGTGGCAACATACGGCGAGTACGACGAGAAATTTTGAGCGAAAATTTCCGCCGTATTCCAGCGTCTGCCATCTGTGGTCCGTCAGTTCCAGGTTAGTCATGTGATGGCTGACATCCGTTCAGTGTTGGTTCCTTTCTTTGTTTGTTTCATTCTTTCTTTCTTTCCTTGTTTCCTTCTGTCTTTGTTTCTTTTTGTTTCTTTCTTTCCTTGTTTCCTTCTGTCTTTGTTTCTTTCTTTGTTTTTCTTTCTGTCTTTGTTTCTTTGTTTCTTTCTTTGTTTTTCTTTCTTTCTTTGTTTCTTTTTGTTTCTTTCTTTGTTTCTTTCCTTGTTTCCTTCTGTCTTTGTTTGTTTTTCTTTCTTTCTTTGTTTCTTTCTTTCTTTGTTTGTTTGTTTCTTTCTTTGTTTTTCTTTCTGTCTTTGTTTCTTTGTTTCTTTCTTTGTTTTTCTTTCTTTCTTTTTCTTTTTGTTTCTTTGTTTCTTTCCTTGTTTCCTTCTGTCTTTGTTTGTTTGTTTTTCTTTCTTTCTTTGTTTCTTTCTTTCTTTACTTGTTTCTTTCTTTCTTTGTTTCTTTGTTTNTTTACGCTAGCAATCATACGTTTAAAGGGTCATGACCTCTAACTCGTGTTCTCACGCAGGCGTCAGTTCTTCATTAAGCCAATCTGCACCACATGCACAGCAGAGACTCAGAACTTCAAGTCATTTCTTTTGGGTTACGGTGCTAAACGGAGGTGATTGGTTTGTTTTTGCAGAGCTGCTGCAGATCGCAGGAATCAGTCCTCATGGAAACGCTCTTGGTGCGACCATGCAGCAGCAGGCCAGCCAGCAGCCACCTCAGGAGAAGAGGGGAGGGGAGATCCTGGACTCCACTCACACTGACATCAAACTGGAGAAAAGCAACATCATACTCCTCGGTCCTACTGGTTCAGGTGGGTGAAATAGCAAAGGAGTTACATCGCATCTCTGATGCATCTCACCAAATGCAGTTAAATGATGGGTCAGTTGATTAATCGATATTAATGTTCATCTCTAAGGGAAAACATTGCTGGCGCAGACACTGGCTCGCTGTCTTGATGTTCCTTTTGCGATCTGCGACTGCACCACTCTCACCCAAGCTGGATACGTGGGAGAGGACATCGAGTCGGTTATCGCCAAACTTCTGCAGGATGCCAACTACTCAGTGGAGAAAGCACAACAAGGTGGGTACAGGCGCCATATTTAACTTTTCCCATCTGTTGAGTGAGAAGGTTTGTGGAAATCCCTCTAAACTAAAGCTGTCATGACTTACCTAACACTGTGGTTGGAATTCGTTATTTACTAAGAAATTTAAGAAATTACTCCGGATAAATAACTTGGTAATAATAAAACAGAGTTTGGAGAAAAAAATCTGATGATTTTCAATAAATGACAGTTTTTCAATTCAGTTAAAGCTTTTTTTGGTCCCTGTACATACAAACAATGGAAACCGGTGCAAACCTGCAGCTTATAATAAAACATTGGACTAAATGAGAATGAATTGTTATTAAAATATAATTTAAATTCCAACAAAAATGATGTTTTAATTCGAATTTCCCATCAGTGTTTTGTTAATTTAATCCATTATCCTTTAGAGATAAAAAGAAACATTTTAAATGTATTTATTTAAGGTGGAAATTTACAAAAATTTGATCTTTCTGAAATTCACAAAAAAAGATTTGTGTTAAATGTTATTTTGGTAAAAAGAATGAAAGTGTCAGCATTCATGAACGATGCTTTTGACAATCTGCTTTTAGTTTAAAATATTCCATTTTAGTGCTGAAACATTGAATCATGATTCATTGATTGTTGAAATAATCGTCATTTGATCAATAATCATTAACCGGAGTATAGAGGCTCTAAAACTTGTCTTTAGCTGACAGAGAAATCCCACTTAGAGCCGATATTATACCAAAGTTTTAAGAAATATATTAAAAGAAATTTTCCACCTGGTTTCATTTCATAAAAAATCTTCTTTAAGGAACCGTTGGCCATCTGATTATTAATTGATTAATGAAAAAAGAAATTTGCAAAATGATTGTTAATTGAAGCCCTATTCCAGTCGTTATTTGTGAGTTTATATGACTTTATAACCGCACTTTCAATTCAGAGGCCAATTAAATTCTTTCTTTTTTAAGATTTTTGGAATATAGAAACAACAAGACCTAAATAATATTTTAACACTTAAGGTAAATCGTTCGAGATTCCAATGTCTTTAACATTTAGAAATTTTAGGCTGTAAAATTATGAAGCTTTGAAACTGACTTTGGTTCTAAAGTAAAGAATTTCTCCATTTCTAAGAGAAAAGTTTGGTTTCTGTCTAGTTTATAGAGCTGTTCCTTTGCTTGGAGCTGCATCGGACAGTAAATACCTTCTTTAATAAGACTTTAAGGTTATTTAAGCATTTTTCAACCTAAAAACCAAGCTCAGAAATGATGCTGAACCTCAACACATTTATCTCCAGTCTATGCTTGTCCTTAGTTTCCTGCAAGTCTGCCTAAATCAGGCGTGTGCATCAGAACAGGGAAGTAAACAATGAGGCAGCTGCTGTCAGCAGGTCTCTTTATTCTATTCGGCCCTCAGAAAATGATGCCAACTGGTTGTAAAAAGAAAAGCAACAGTAAATAAGGTCTGACTTATAAGAGTAGGTCACTAATCCAGCCACCATTGTTTTGTCCTTTGTGTCGGCAGGTATCGTGTTCCTGGATGAAGTGGATAAGATTGGCAGCGTGCCTGGAATCCATCAGCTGAGAGATGTGGGCGGGGAGGGCGTTCAGCAGGTCAGTGCGGACACGCGGTTATCCTTAGAGCTGCAGACAGCAGCTAGGTTTATATTTTAAGGATCGGGTGAAATGTTTCGTCGTAAATTCGATTTAGTCTTTGGCTATCTGAGGATTTTCACACATAGGTTTAGCGTTTGTGTTTTTGCTGGACTCTGCAGATATACAGTCATGGAAAACATTATTAGAATAGAGACAATGGTTATGTAGTCAACTTCCAAAAAAGATTTAAAAAAAAAAACAATCCACTGGACTTTGTTTCCAAGTTTGAAGACGTTTCTCTTCCATCCAGGAGGATTTTTCAATTCAAAATGTCAGAAATAGCGTTTAGTTCCAGGTTTTATAGAGTGGACCAACAAAGCCTGGTTTTAGTTTAGAAATCATGCAAATTGAAACGAACAAACGGGTCCAACCCCTTTGGAATGGCTGAACACCTGGAGGTCTAATTGATCAGAAGTGGAAGCAAATCATCAAACCAACAACGTCGTCTCGTTACCTAAAGGTTAAACACAGGATTATTTACAAAATTACACATAAGCTGCCATGACTTATAAATCCTCTCCCGCTGTTGTGGTATTGAAGGATGGAGTCAGTTTTAACAAACACCAACCATCTCATTATCACGATTCGTTATCTGGAGTCAGAGGTTCACGACCGCTCTCTGCTTCTGTAGTTTACTGATATAGATATAAAAACCTTTTATTTTATTTTTTTTAACTAAAGACCCTGTCACACCTTGATGATTTAGACCAAAATCTGGGAAAACCGCTGCCATATTTTGGATAAGTTATGAGCGTGCTGAAATGCGGCGACATACAGCGAGTACGACAACAAATTTTGAGCGAAAATTCCCGCCATATTCCAGCGTCTGCCATCCGTGGTCCATCAGTTCCAGGTCAGTTATCTGATGGCTGACATCCGTTCAGAGTCAGTTCCTCATCAGTCGTGGCGTCTAGTTGATCCTAAACTTCTGTGTAACTTATCCAGAACTTCTCTCCAACATATCAGCGTATCTGCCGTGTTCCAGACGAGCGCTGAACGCGTTTCTAACTTCCAGCTACTGTATAATGGCATATTGGCAGCGTTTTGGTATAAGGGGGTTCACAGGAGGAAACCGTCAGTTCTCCTCCAGACTTCATCCCCATCATAGGGTGAGCCAGAAGGTGAGTGATGGATCCTCCCTGCGTTCACGCCCACCACCAACACACTTCCTAGCAGACATGACGCTCAATCTGCTGCCACCAGAAACCTTCTTTCTTTCTTTCTTTCTTTTCTTTTTTTTTTTGTCTTTTTGGCACAGTTTTTACAACTTCTTTATTTATTGGAGAAGTGTGTCAAAATAAAAATAACAAAACAAATGCCAGACTTTTAAACTTTTTAATCGGTGAAGCTAAAATGGGTGTCCCTCTGCACCTGAGGGAAACAGCTTTAACTGTTGCTGTTGTGCATCATTTCCTGGGCATTATGCTGCCATGCTTTATGCAGGCTGTCGTTGGACAGAAGTTCTAGACTCTTTATGAATTCTCAGAAAGTTCAGCGTATGCCAGCATTTTAGGAGATTCTGGGACGTCAAGCAGAAGCTGGATAAATCACAGGGTTCCCGCGAGTCCTTAAAAAGTCTTAAAAGGCATTGAATTCTTCAAAATAAAACTAAGGCCTTAATTGGTATTAATTTAATTGGTCTTAAATCAGTCTTTCATTGGTCTTAATTTTTAAAAAACATCATAAATGGGATTATTTTTATTACGATTTATTTTTGTAATCTAAATAAAATGTTAAAATTTACAATTTCTTTTTCTTTTATTTAAATAAAATACCGGCTCTCCATTATTGGTTCCGTCCCGATAGCGGAACCAATAAAGCGTTGTTGCTGCCGGGACATTTGGGAGATGCACCATTAACTTTTTGTCTGGAAAATATGAGCAAGTGTAAATGTAACCAAAATCGTCTCCAGCCAAGAGTTTTCTCCATGGCTAAAACC